ATCGCCTTTCTTTTCACCTGTTGGGCGGTAGTCAAGGCTAGGTCTTCGGTTGGTACCCTAGTCCATTTGACCGTCACCTTTTGGTTAAAGTCCTTATTTTAGGTGCTACTTGTAGTAGAGTAATGATTTTGAGCAGTAGGTATGTCTTGGTCTGGTTTAAGGTGATCAACATATTTTAGGTTATTTTGACCTATATTTTACGCCTGAATGACTTTGGTCACAGGAATTTCTAGTTTTGGTTTATATAGAAATAAGAAGGGATATGGTGAAGTGCAACAAATACATCAAATTACATCAACAAATAAATATGTTTTCCTCATATCCAGAGGGCGAGTACTGTACGCTGAGAAAAAAAAATGTAAAGTATAGTCCATGATAGAGAGCAGTTTTAATAAGTCTTGTTAGTACATGTATTTAATTTGTATGTTAATTTATGACGAATTTTAACGGAAAAACACAATTTTCAACCTTTATTTTACTGTATTTTGTAGTTGTGTGGCAAGGAACCTTTGAAAGAGAATGCTCGCTGCCTTGTGCATTTTACAATTACGCAGGCTAATCTTGTCGGGGCCCCAAGGGGCAAGACTCTGGCACCCAAGGCTGTGCCCGAGCCTAGCGCTAGTACCAGTAGTGGAGCTGTGGGTGGGAATATACCAGTTCCAGATCCCAGCACGACTCCAGATTTCGTGCCTTTAGGTGAGATATTGAGTTGTTTCAGTAAAATAATAAAAATATATAAGGTTATGGGGAATGTGTCTAAGAGACAAAATTTTCTATTTTGAGAAAAAAAAATAGCTCCCCTAAGAGTCCTGTAAAATCTTCACACTCGGGGTTGATTGTGCCCAGAAAAGTTATGTATTTTTTGCTCCAGTGATTTAGATGTCTTTCTGGTACATAGTATTATATATCCGTCCGCCTGTTATACTAGGAATCTGTTCCTTCTTTTGCTTGCTTACTCCTTTGCTATAGATAGTGTATTCTGTATGTATTTAGTCTGTAGTGGGATACTCTGATATGATTGTAAATTTTTAGGGCCCCGAATTGAGGAAACGGGAGCCCTATAGTTCTCACTTTGTCCGTCCGTCCCTCTACAATGTAAAACTTAAACTATTAAGATACAGAACTGAAATTTTACACACTTGTTTAGCAACATATGTAAATGTGAATACTAAAATTTGTTTTTATCAGTTGTATATTTTGGGTAAATTTAGGTTTTTTTTTTGTTTAATCATTTTTATCGACACAAAAACGTCACAACTATACAAGATAGAAACCTAAAATATTACACGGTTGTTAACCTACATATGTAGATGTGCATATTCAAACTTGGTTTAGATTTGGATGAAAGTTTTCGGAGAAAAACACAAAAAAAAAAAAAAAAACTTTTGATGCAATATTACAAATTTTTGAGAATCAAAGATCAAAAGTGCCGAGGGGGCCCTTCCTGACTCTGTTGCTATTCTATTTTTGTTGAAACCTCAATTCCGAAAACATTAACTGAGTTATTTACAGGATACTTGTTAAAAGTTTTGAATTTGAATTTTTATTTTTTATTTTCTCTCAGGAAATAAGTCCAATGACATAGAGAGCCGGCAGAAAGATATGGAGAATAAGATGACCTCTTTTTCTTATAAATCCGCCGAAAGCCAGGTAGGAGAGAGTTTAGCACATGTAAGGATACTGGCGTCTAGGCCCAACTTAACACCGTCACATGTTCTATTGGCTGCCATAGAATCTTTTGTTACTGTTGCTACAAAATATGGACATAAGGAATCAGAATTTTTCTCTAAGGCTTATACTTACTGCAAAAAGTTCGAGGATTCTAAGGATATCTGTAATTTAGCAATGAAATTATTTGGATCGGCAGAGGACAAAAAATTAGCTAATATGGTAGCCTAGTGGATGAAGGGTAAAAAGTATGAGGCTTCTCCGAAGAAGTCTGTAAGAATTGAACAACCTGATAAAGAAAATGATATTAAAATGCCACATAATTTTGGAGCAATTAATAATCCTGCCTCTTTTGGTTACCCCTTTGTTCAAGGTCCAATGCCTATGCCACCTTTTTATGGCTCTCAGGGTTATTCTAATTTTCAGGGGAATTTTGGGAACGGAAGATTTATTAGAAGGGGAAGGGGAGGGTACTCCAGAAGAGGCAACTGTCTTTTTTGTAAAAAAAGTGGGCATTATGTTGCGGAATGCCCGAAGATTAAGAAGGACTCTTAGAATAGTATTGATTTGTTCAAAAGTGTGAATTTCTTATTTTGGGATATTTATTCAGGTATTTGTGTTTTGTGATTTTGTACATTTTGCTTACATTTTCATATCGTTTAAATATGATTTTATGGATACTAGCCTTTAACCCAAGGGACACTGAAGCCCTAGTGAATTTTATATTCACGTGGGTTGGGGGCTGAGTATCTACCTCTGTAATCACTTGGTCCAAGAATGGTTTTATAATTATTTCAGGGGGAAGTTTTATGCCATAGTAGTGATAAAAAGAGGCGAAAAATTATACCAGATATTCCTATTTGGGAGTTGAAATCTAGTTTTAATCCTTCAGGAATACAGAGAATGATAAGGGAAGACTACATTGATTACAGAGGTGCGATATCTCAGCCCCTAACCCATATTTCTGCAGAGGGTGTAATTAACAATAATGAAGAGTTTGATTTGTGTAATTTGAAGTTTAGAAACCCTACCAATTTTATAGCAGGCAGTTTGCATGATCATTTTGATGAATGAGAAAAAAATTGTACGGATAAAAAAGTCCTAGATTGGGTCAAAAATGGTGTAAATGTTAATCAATTTTTTAAGCATTTCAAGGGAAACTTTAAAGAGAGGCATTATGACCATAATATTCCTCCGGGTATTTTACTACCTAACGCTAAGATTTGTGAAGACTATACCCAGTTTATTGCTGAAACTTTGGAGGAAAGGTTAAGGAATGGTTCTTTGACATTACTAGGAAAAGTGGGTGAATGCGAACCTCCTTATTTCGTGCTTCATCTGACTATAGAACCTAGTAAACCGAGACTTTGTCATGACGAAAGATATCTCAATTTATGGATTATTGATAGTCCCTTTTCTCTGGAAACCTTAAGAGACCTCCCATGCCTTGTTCGTAAATGTGACTTGATGTCTTCTTTAGATGACAAATCTGGTTATGATCATATTTTTCTGGATGAGAATAGTAGAAAATATTTTGGTTTGCAATTTGGTGGGTATTATTTTGTCTTTAACACTATACCTTTTGGTTTCAAGGCAAGTGCATATATATATCAGATGACTGGACTGACTGCTACAGGGTTTTGTAGATCCCTGGGCGTACCTTGTTTGCAGTATATAGATGATAGATGAATAGGAGAGCTGATGGGGAAACCTGATGAGGTACAGTGTGTAAGGCAGGAGAATGCGTTCAAGTCCTTGTATGTTGTTTGCGAAGTCTTAATTAGGTTAGGTTATTTCATTAATATTGAAAAAACTTAAGTTTGTACCTAGTACGGTAATTAGGTTTTTGGGTATGTTAATTGACTCAGACCGATTGGCTTTTCTGATTCCTGAAGATAAAGTTGACAAATTTTTAGTATTGAAGGATAAAATCTTAGCAGTACAGGAAGTTGATTTGAATACTTTACAAAAGTTTGCTGGGAAATGTATCTCTTTCTTGTTGGCAGTGCCTAGTGCTAAATTCTATACTAAGGAGGTTAACAAAGCTATAAGTATAGCAGGGAAAAACAGTGGTAATGTTCAGCTTTCTCAGGATTTAAGAAATGAAATTTCTCACTGGACTTTCTTACAAAGCTGGAAGGGGTGTTTCCCTTGGAGAGGTGAAAAACATTTACAGGTTTCTATGGTTACTGACTCGTCTTTATACAAATGGGGAGCATTAGTTTATTCACAGGACAATCCTACTGAATTTTCTGACTTTTGGGATGAAAAGGATGAACGGGCTATTCATTTAAAGGAAACACAAGCTTTGATTAATGGTCTTAAATCAGTTTCGGTTTCCATCCATGATCATAGGGTGGACGCTTTTGTTGATAATATGGCATGTGTGCAGGCATGGGAGAAGCAGACATTTAAGGATTTGGCTTTCAATGAATTGATGAAGGATCTTTTCAATTTCACAGTTGAGTTTCATGTTGATTTGAGGTTATCTTACATTCCTTCTAAAGAGAATCCTGCAGATTTGCTTTCTAGAAGTCTGTCTGCCCAGGATTGTATGTTGAATAGAGATAAGTTTCTTTAATAGAGCAAACTTTTGGCCCGCACCATATAGATCTTATATCTTTAGACTCTAATGTGATGAGGGATACTGTAGATGTGCCTTTGCGCCATTTCACCCCGTATCCAACTCCAGGTTCTGCGGGTGTCAATGTGTTTTCTCAGACTTTGTGTCTATCTGATAATTTGTACGTTTTCCCTCCTTTTGCTTTGATCCTTCCGGTTTTGAGATTTCTGAGAGATCAAAAGGTGAGATTTTGCACTATGGTTATTCCTGATGAGGATGTTAGACCCATTTGGTGGCCATTGTTGTCTAATTCGTTGGTAGACCATATTGTTCTTGGTAGAAGAGGAGAGTTGGGTGTCCTTCTTGTGCCGTCTAAGAAAGGTTTTGTTCTTGATAAGAGGGGACTTAAGTGTGATCTTTGGGCAGCTAGGTTGAAGTTTTTTTAAGTTACGCTTAAATACAGTCTGAGTTTGAAGTTGAAAGTTTTTCATTTTTTGTAGGCATTCGTTTACAGAAATATTAGACAGATAGATTATGAAAGTTGCAAGATATGTGGCTGTCTGAATCATAAGGATTTTCGATTTTGCCAGTTTTGTGGGGATAGAAGAGAGGATACTGGAGACGTCTCTATTGATGATCAGGATTTAAAATCTTATAATGCTAAGAAACGTATACTATACCTAGAAAACATGCTAAACAATAAAACATATGATAAGAAAAAGGTTTCTTTGAAGAAAGATTTAGAATCTTTCTTAATAGGTCGTGCTAAAATCTGACGTCTGCCACTCCAGAAGACATAAGATTGTTTTTGATTGACCGTGATATGAAAGGGAAAACGAAAATACATGATTTATGTTGTCCATTTTTAGGAGACAAGAAATTTAAGGATTGTTCTTGTCCTTGTAGACTAGCTTCTGGCACTGTATCCTCTTTAGCGAGTCAGTTGAAGGTTATTTTTTATTCTTTCGGTAGAAAGGGTGAATGGACCGAGTCTGGTCTTATCAAATTCGGAAACCCTGTGTCGAGTGCTATAGATAAGCGCTATTTAGGAGCAGTAAACCTAGAACAAGCAGTAGCCCATGTACCTATTGTGCAGGCAAAACCTATATTTTTAGACAAGCTGAAAAAAATCAGTGTTTACATAACAGCGGGAGATAGGGCCAGTGATTTAGGCAAGTGTTTAGCGCAAGAGGTGAAAAGGTTGACAGATTCTGAGGCTCTTTTATTTCGTCATACAGTAGGCAAAACTTTAGGGAATGGCAAAATCAATGAGTTTGTGATTTCACCAGTCTCCGATAAGTTGATTTGTCCTGTTGAAAATTTAAATCAGTATGTTTCTGGAGCAGAAGAAATGGATATCGATTTATCAGTAGGTTATCTTTTTAGGACTTTAGACCCCTCTCACTCTCGTGTTATAGAATATCCAGTTTCTTCTTCGGGAATGGGCATCCGTTTGCAATTGTACCTTAAAGATTTGAATATTTTTTAGGGTGAAACTATACATGGCATTAGAGGAGGTTGTGCTACAACTATGATGTCTTCGGGTATAGCTTCTAGTAAGGAGATTATGGAACATGTTGGTTGGTTTAGCAAACGTTCCTTAGATAAATATTCAAGAATGAATAGATTAGTTGATGCAGGGTTAGTGAGTTCTTTATTTTCGAAAGTTGCAGACTCAAATCTTTCTGATGCTGGAAACATTTTTCACAAGTTAGAGGACTCCTCCGAATTACCCCAAGCTTTTAAAAAGTAGGCTAGTATGACAATATTGTAATACAATGTGTAAAAGTTAACTATGAACGTAAATTGTTTGCCTTCATTTATATATGTTTTTCTTTTATTAATTTGTAGAATGGGAAACTTAAATGTGAGATATTTACGGATAGCTTACACCATTTGTTTAAATCACTTTGATACTATATATTTAAACACACACTCATGTAGAGACTGTTTTAGCATAATCAAACTTTCAGGTTCATACTTAACCTTTACACATGGTAATATTAGCTTTGTAATTTTGTGTACTGGTGGTTATGTTTATATAATATAATGAAAGGTTAATTGTATTTTGCTAATAAATGTGTTATTTTGAAAGTTTTATTTCATTTATTTGATAATATCATATAATAAAACTAAGAATATGGGGATATGTCATGGATGTTAAGGGTTATTTGGGAGAAGTTTTGAGGGTTGGGAATATTTTCTGTAGTTTTGGGTAAGTAATGGGAGGTTTCGTTGGTTAAAGGGTTCAATTTTAGGAATTGGTGTTTTGGTTGAAGAATTTTAGATTAATTGGGGTTACTCTTTCACCCCAATACTTAATAAATCCCGAGTGTATTTGAGCGAGTCTGACTTTGGATAGGGTAGGATCCTAAGTGAGATCTCGCGAGAATCACGAGGTGATTCAATCAGTCTTAGCTGAACAGCCGTGGAGACCTTTTCCTGCTTGTGACTGGTGGCGTTATTCTAGGCTTGCTTTCTTTTAGCTCATATTAGAAGATGTGGAAACTCAAGTTATTTTGGAGAAAATTGTGTAAACACAAGAGGGAATGGTTTTTGGAAAAAGAAAAAAAACAAAAAAAAACAACAACAAGAAACAATAAAACAACAAAACAAAATATTAAAAATAAAACAAACAAAAAAACCACCCCCAAAAATTACAATGAACAAACAACCCCCCAGGAATGGAAGGAAAACCAAGCTAAACGAATAATAACAAAAAAAAAAGAAAACTTCACAAGAAAATGATTAATAGCTAACTCAACTAGAAAACCAAGATATGAATATTTAAAAAGAGAACAAGGGTAAATTAAAACCCTGAGGAGACTTTGGCAGTTGCTGGTTAGTCGAAACATATATCAAATGTAGAATATATAAAAGGTCCTGTTGATCAGACGATATCAGAATGCATCAAATTAGTTTATTTTATCACAACGTCAAATATTTTAAAGGATGAAACCAGGCAAACTGATGATGTTTACCAGGTTTGTTTGATGCTGTTGACTAATGTTAGTGACACTCGAGCATAAAAAAAGGATTGCAAATATGCTGTTGTACTGTTATGTGGCCTGACCACATATGTGAGCGGGACATATAGTGTTATCCTTGTCCATAAGTATTTGGTTAAGGACCATGTCTTGGTAACTATATGTAGTACAGCACTGATACAGTAGATATCTTTTGGGTAGAAGGTTACTACAAATTAGGTCACCATGACCTATGTTTTACGTTTTAAGGATTTTGGTTATGTTAGGACTATCTTGTCTAATAGACAGTTTCTATTACCTACATGTATAAATGGTATTTGATATTGAGACTTTTTAGTTCCAGAAATAGACAAATATTTATATGATGGGATGGCGTTGTACAACAGATGACAAGATTTGTGACCGAAATCATGTCCTAATGTAAGGCCTAAAATAAAATAAATAATGCAGTATGTAGTCACAACTATTGATTAAGCGGCACTCGCTCTTTTAGACTCTGGGGTTACTCTTTCATCCCAATACTTAATAAATCCCGAGTGTTTTTGAGCGAGTCTGGCTTTGGATAGGGTAGGTACCATATCGGCACAGAAACAGTTTTGTCGTTGCCAGTACGACGGAAAGCATATTAGCTCAGAGTTATGAGAATTACATGTACACGACATATGCACCTCGTTGACTAGTATCATATGTCGTAATAGTGATTTCAGAAAATAGTGATGTAACAAGTAAGGCAACAACGCCCTCACTAGAAAAGGGTTGTGATAATGTTATTGTAATATTAACCATGTTATGAACCATGACAATAAATTTTCACTAATGCTCTCGTACCATGAACAACAAAATTATTTATTTTGGAAAAAAATATTTCCGTTCTCCTATCCGTTTGCTATTTTGCCGGTCTTAATTAAGATTATTAGTATTCAAATTAAGAATAGAAAAATTCATACACTTTAATAAGAAAATATCTAAAAAAAAATATGTCTTCTTAAAACATTTTTACAAAGCATAAACACTAAAATTGATCTTTAAAAACAATTAAGCAAAGCATGCAAATCCTGTGATAAACAAAATCGACATTCTAATTAAAACTTTTGATAAAAATTTGCTATTAGTTTTGAAATAAAAAAGTAACATTCAATAACCTCATAATGTTTTACTAGTGTTACAAAACCAGTGTATTGTTTTTGGTGCATTCTTTATAGTCTTGCACACAAGAAAATGCTGCCACTGCAGACATGAACTGCACTAAACACTTGTTTCTTTTGGTGTCGGCATCAATTTTGCAAAAATTGTAAACATCTACAATTCATCTTTCATAGAATAAATGCTGCCAATAGATTTCAACGATCTTCTGTACGATATGTTTTTATTAATCCTATATTGACTGGTGGGGGATGTTGGTGGTCTTTGTCGTCATAAACACAGCAATACTTTATTACACCATAACCTATTTAGATTATTATTATAGTTTGTGCTTGGTGCTCCGGTTTTAATGATTTTTTTTAGTCCTCGAATCACGTTTCCAAACTTGAGCATAGTTGTCGTTTTCTAAGTGCTTCAAAACCTGCTGTAGCTCTTCATAGTCGAACTCAGTATTTAATTCAAGTTTGTTTGATAACAATTATTTGTTTAAAGCCTTGATCCACATACTAGTAGTTGATGATTAACTGGAGTTCTCTATAGTTAAACACTTCGTTCTGTAGATATATCAAGGTACTAGAATCTGAAGCGAGTAAAGAAAGTAGTTTCCAATGAAGAAGAGAAGATAGAGAGACGGCTGGATATGGTTTCATGTATGCTGTATCCAGTTCTAGATGGTTTATACGGTTGAAGGAAAGAATACGAGAAACGCCTTCATCAAGAAAGGTGAACTGGTGACATGAATCTTTATATTTTCTGTTCTGATTCACATAATCACAGGCTTGTATAATTTCTTTAAATCCTAATGCGTTTGATATTTGCTTAAAATAGCCATTTACCAACTCTACCCACTACTGTTCATACTCCTCTTCGGTGTACTTGCAGCCACCATCAATTGAGGAGTGTACTTCTTTCACATGTTCTTATACAAACCTTACATGTCCAAACTGAATTTTGCATCTTCAACATGCTGTACTTGGAGCTAAATACCATGGTAAATGTGAGCGAAAAGTGCCATCAAGGTGTGTGAATCTGCCTTCACACAATGGACAGCTACGACCTTGTTTCGTCACTAAAGTTGTCCCATTAATATGGTTTGCTCGAATCTTCTGTACTTCTCTCGCATCTTTGTCTAAAATGTAGTATTCATAATCTTCATCCAAACTGCAAAATTTCAGTGAATAGCAAAAATGCATATTGGTCATTACTGTTTCCCTCATCGTCGTTCTCATCTTTCCATGTAACGCGTCTGGCCCTTTGTCTGTAAACACCAACAGTAAATAAGCATGTTAAGAATTGAGGTTTACTAAAATAATTACGATGTTATCATACTTATTAAGAAACATGGAAATAAATAATAAACATAATAAATAGTATACTAACGTAAGTTAGATGCTATTAACCAGTAGACTTTGTTGTTTGTCGGTGTGGTTCATAGGTGTCTATTATCTTGTCTATAGCTGTTGGTTTTCCTGTTTGGATTGTTTGATCTTAGTCACCAATCTTAACAACTTACCAAGGTACTTAAAATCCCTTAGTAGGAGCACTAGTCATTGAAGTTACCCTTTATAGCTTGGTACCAGAGCCTACACTCTCATGTTAACCTTTAATTTGGTTTTAACTTTATATATATTGTGACTTGGACTTGAACTTGGCTATTGTCAATCATACCACATCTATTCTTAACAGAAAAGTACATTCACATGGTTCACTGTTGTACAACATGTATTCAAACCCTTATACATGAATGGATAATATTTGATAAGAAATTAAAAATCTGTACAAGGTGTGGTATAAAGATACAAGCTATGCATATGGTAATCCAGAAAGTGACCAGATTGTTTTTATAATGTTGGTTTCAATTTGTAGTAGTATAATGAGATTGTTACTTACTGTTAGACATGTCTTTCTATTTATAATCATCCCGGATGGCCTCTATTACAAGACCTTCCTATTGTATTTATTGTTAACTTGTTTCCGTCCTGAACATGCATGAACTATTTGACACTAGACGTTAAGCAACCAACTATCAATCAATCTTATAATAATCACATTCGTCTTTCTGTGTTTTTAGACGGATACCTATTTGAAGATTGTGTAATTTAGCAGCGATATCCTTTTCACTTTTCTCTTTGAATTTTTCTAATATAGATTTTGGAAGAAAGTCATATTTAAGCCCATCTACAGTACTTGCAACCTTAGGCGTTACTATTTTAGCAATCAATCAGCGGTCATCGATCAGTCACCGATCAGTCAAGTTCGCGTCAAACTCGCGTCACCAATCCGTCAGATTTATGGTAAAAGTATTTGACTGATCTGACGGATAGGACCGATCGACCTTTCTGACGGATTGAACTCTACTACGTCACATGATAAACTAATACAAATTACGGAATCTTAGTTTCGTTTCATTTAATTAATGGCGCCACGGAAAATACGAAACGTTCAAGTGCAAAAGATCAACATTTTTTAAGTGATTATTCAGCAAAGTTTTAAGAATAAAAAAAAAGAAATATGCAGATAAAACTGATTTTAAATATTATTATAACTGAATGGCGATTTTTGTTTTTATTTAGGTTATATATTTTTATACCCGAACAGTGGTAAAACGATTTAAATCGCGATTGGGATTTTGTTCCTAGAATTTCAGCATAATTTATGAAAAACAACCAATCCTGATGTACAAAAAGTACTGAAATCAAATGGCGGTTCATAATTTCCTTCTAAATAAAGAAATTATAGCATTCCTATTCAACTCAAAAATTTTAAGGTGACGTTGCAATATTT